ATACATACATACATACATACATACATACATACATACATACATACATACATATATATATACATATATATATATATATGAATACATACATATATAAATACCATTTTTGAATTAATTCTACTGGACGAATCAATGGGAGTTGCAAGTCCGTCCTTCTGGTATACACTTCCATTGTTTTCTTTGCAATATTGTGTAAACATTACACAATGTTTCTTTATATCAAATTTTTGTTGTAGAAGAGACTTTGTAGAATTTGGTTGACTCTTTGGCACTTTTGGCAATACATCTTCTAATATACTTGATGAAAATGTTAATGGCAATGGCCCCAGAGATGCAATTGCTGCAGTTGTTATTTGATTTTTTATAGCTACATTTTCATTTATTTTTCTCCACAAACGATAAATAAAAAAGTAACGGATATACATTATATCTGATTCTGGATGTATGGGAATACTTTTTATTATTTTCCTATAAAAAAAAAAAATTTGAATATAAAATAATTGAAAATATTTGAATATTTGAATATAATATACTGCATAGGAAAAAAATCATAAATTTTTACGAATAATAAAATTAAAATTTAAAAAAAATTTTTTTTTTAGATTAAATTTTATTTTATATTTATACTTACGTCATAATTGGATCTAAAATATGATGATAACTGCGACACATAAATTGTATTTTCATCAATGTATCTAATAAATAATCCATGGAATGTTCTGAAAGAAATATATGTAAATTCTTTAAAAATATTTTAAAAAATATTTTAAATATTATAAATTTCATTGCTTGTGCATTGAAATTTATACCCATAAACAATTTTTAAAAATATAATTATACCTAGATAAACATATAGACAGGAAGTAATCCTTGCACAAATTTTATCATGATCCTCTCTGCTTTTTCTAGATGCTTTTAATTCCATATCTATATAGAATGCTAATAAATCTGACATAATATTTAAATAACTGAACCTATCACAATCCTAAAAAGTAAAATTTTTTTATATTTGTATATAAATATAAAAATATAATATGAAAATACAAAGAAATAAAAATTAAAAAAGAGCTTACCTTAGAAAGTTCACGGTAAATATATAAGAATAACATTAAAGAGTCACTAATAAAATCCTTTAATTTTCCAGCTCTCAAAGGCCTTGTGTAACACTCATTTACACTGACACTTATATTTCTGTAAGAAAATTAATTGCTGCGGCACTTTTTATTTTATGCAAATAATAAAATTTATAAATTTATAATATATTATCTATTTTTATCTCAATATTTAAACCTTTTTTTATATTTTTAATCTCAATTGTTTTAACATATAATAAATACATTAATTTATTAATGTTAAATTGTAATGTAAGTAATAATGCTTAAATTTATAATTAAATTATTCAAAAATATTTTATAATAACATATTTTAATCATGTTGTTATAAATTTTATGTATGTTTTATTAATTTATAACTACAAAATTTGAAATATAAAATTTAATATTAATTCTTTAAAATCATATATTTTAAAAAATACTTAATATGCTCATTTAAAATACAATAAAATATATAATAATTGGAAATAAAATAATTAGAATAAACATTAGTTCTATTTAAATAATAATGTAAGTAATGTAAATAATAATTTTTTATGTATAAATATATTACATATATTATATTATATTTAATAATATAATTATTAAAACAATATATTTATAATAATTTAATAAAAATTATATTAATAATAAATTTAAAATTTTCATAGTTACTTTTATTTTTTATTTATTTGCATTATAATGTTTTTTTCATTATAAATATTTTTAATAATTTCAATTTATCATCAATTTATCATATGAATGAAAAAAATATCAATCTAGTTTTTATCCTTTAGTTTTTATTTTAACTATATCTATATATATTATTATATAATAATGTCTACAGAAGATATCTATTTCTACTGATTTTTAAACCAGTTCCCAGAAAATATTTTACTGGTAAACTGAAAACAACAATAATACATAAACTTATGATAATATAAATTATTACCTTAAATAAAATTTCATAAGTTCTTTTAAAGATGCCATACTTTTCTCTGTATGTATACATTTACACATTTTTCTAAATTCTAATATCCATGGAAATAATTCAATAATAGATAGTTTTGATTCATCATTGTTCAATTTTAGTTTTCCATTATTTTTAATCATTTCCTTTTTGGTATCTATATTGATAAATAAATATTTTAAAGAATTTTATCATAAATATTTTATAAAAATGTTCTATAAGATATTATAATAATAATAAATTAATTTTATTTCAAAGAAATAAACAAATAGTTTTAAAAAATTATTTTAATAATATTAAAAATCAATTATATTTTATAATTGTAGCAATTTGTACAAAACGTAATAATTAAATTATTCGAAAATATTTAATAATATGTTCAAAAATATATTTTAATATAATTTTAATATATTTAAGAATTATATTATCTTTTTCAAATGAAACAAAATATTAGAATTTTTTCATAAAAAAATATAAAAATTAGTTTTTATGAAAAAATAATTCTAATTATTTTATAATTTAAATTGTTTAAACATTAATTTTACATATTTGACTTAAAATTTCAAAATAATATTAATAAGTATGTATCTAATATCTCTTACATAACATAATAGTTGGAGTCTACAGTTATATTTTATATTGTTTGGAATGAAATTTTTATATTTTTACAATTTATATGTAAAAAAAAATTATTTTTTTATCGATATTATGTATCCACTTATTATGCCACGAATTCACTAAACACTTTTAATTACACTATATATAGAATTTATGAAATAATATAAAATTTTAAAAAAATATTTTTGTTAATTATTTAATGCTTTTAAATAATACAAAATGATAACAATATCCAATGAAAAATAGACAAAAAGATAATCATTTTAAACACTTTTTATTACTTATCAAAGTATTAATAATATTTAAGATTTAGAAAATCTATTCAATTTTCATAAAAATATTTAACAAATGTAAAATTTGTACATAAGAATTATTTAAAAATATTTGTAAAAATAATATTATTAGAAAATTACAAAATAAATTTAATCAAAAGTATAATACAAAAAAATAATTTAAAATAAATCTGATTAAAAAATAATGATGTATCTTACTGTTAACACAGATGCATTGCTCACTTAACACAAGAATGACTTTTCACAGAAAACTTACAAAACTATCACTAAAAGATATAATATATTTGTTTAGAGATTTCATTTGAATTTCTACAAATTCAATTCATATTTTTTGAATGACAGTGCCAATAAATATAGGGACAAATCGATTGAATGCGCGTTGAGAAAGCTAGCGTGCTTTTGGCGATAAATATTTGTGAATGATTTGAAAAACACTTTTAATGATCCCGACAATCACATACCTTGTATTAGAGCATTTTCGCTTTGTATGTTATTTATCCGCTCTTCCACAACACAATTCATTTTGTTGAGATTTCAATAACGTATTAATATTACGTATAAACGTTTGTGCCTACCGAAGCGTACCTCATATTAGAGATCGAACAAACTATCGCGACCACGTCTTTCCACATACTGCGCTCTCGGCAACGGCCATATTGACACTGGCATTTGGTGTACCCACCACGAGAGCGCGTCCTCTACACCCCACTGTTACCAAGTTCTCATCTATTCTTATACACTTAAAAACATATATTAAAAATGAGAATTACACTCCATAAATATTCTTTTTAATTGTACTAAAGTTTTATTGCTACTATTCTATTCAAGTTTTTTAATGATATTATAAATTATTTTTGACATTGATAACTTTTGAATAATAAAATTTTGATATTTAATATTCTTTCTAGGATTAAAAACGGCGAGAATTTAGACATGAGTGGCTGATTTGTCGGTCTTTCAGGTAACTCAACCAATAGAGACTCGTCAAATACGTAGCGTGCAAATCATGAACTGAAAATACTACTATCTCTATCCATAAAAGAGCCCAATCAAAATCGAGCAATTAAGTAATTGCACCACATGGAAACTTGTAAATATATATATATTATTATTTATATTATCCATTAAATATTTTTTAACAATATTTTTCATTATAAGTATTTGATTGCAGTTATAAAATAATAGAGATTAATTGTGATTCTAAAATATAAAGAAAATATAATTTCTATATGACAATAATATAAAAATATATATACAAAAGTATAAAAGATTAAAATTTTTAATTAAATTTTTGAGTTTTTTATAAATAATTTTTAATAAAGTTTTTAAGTTATTTTATAAATTATATAATAAGAAAAAAAAACAAAAAAAAGAAAAAAGTTCAAAACTTCACTTTGTGCAATAAAAAATATATATTGTATATTTATTGTATCAATATTTAAAATTATCATCCTATATATAAGTAAATTTTAATTAACATTTTACTTTCGTTTTTATAAACGGAATTTTATTTATGTACAAACAATGTAATTCAATATACTTACATATTATGCTCCTATATTCATGTTTTTCGTAAAAAAAATAAGTAAAAGTTATTAAGAAATAAAAATTAATTGATTTGAAATCTAACAGAAATTTCAATAGGTTAAAAATTGATTCAACATTGATATGCAATGCAAGGGCGCGTGCGCAATAACATCTGGAAAGCTCGGCTTGCTCTTTCGGTCCTTGTCGGCCGTAACCGCGATCCTCTGTTCCGACGGTGTCGCCTACCCCGAGCTCAGTGAGCCGATGTGTGAGCGCCGCGACGCCCAGAGCAGCCTCAACGTTAAGCGTCGCCGACGTGGATTTGACGAGAGGCCACGTTTTCTTTCTCGCCCTTGTCGTCGTCGTCATTGTTGTCGTCATTTTCGTCATTCGTCTTTTTAGTTATCTTTTTTCGATTAGCTATTGTGGTGGCGCACGCGGCTACACATCGCCGATCGGTTTGGTGCGCGACGAAAGGGAGACAGAGAGAAAGACAGAGACAGAAACGTGTACAGTATATCTTCCTCTTTTTCTCTTTTCTCCTTTTATCGGTCTCTTTCTTTCTCTCAATTTTCTCTGCCCTGAGCATTTCTATCTTTCTCTATCTTGACAATTGTATTCATTCGCTCGACATCATCGTCTCTTGCTGTCATTGCTGTCTTTTCCATCGGTGGTTCACGTGTCCCGCGAATGCGTTGCAAAACGCATCTTCTCTCTCTGATCTCGACCGGCTTCTCGTTGTTTGAGGAACGTATGGCTACAAAAGGAAAAGGGGATGACCGCGACCGAGGACACGATCAACGATGAACCATCGACCAGCAAGAAGAAAAATGACATAAACATAAAGGGTACATAACATACGTAATCGATTTATTCTAATCTTGTTCAATTTAATTCATATCGCGGATTCTTCTGATGTAAGAAAATCATTTATAGTCGATGCTTTTTTCACTCCTTCGTTCAAACATATCGTTTCCTTTTCTTTTTTCTATATTTCGTTATTTACTTTTTGCTTTTTTTTTTTTTTAGTTTCATTATTTTGAATAAATTAAATATACATAAAAGAAAGATAGTTGGAGTAAGAATTGAAAACGATACTGTATTTTGAAAATAAGCGAGAAAAGAAAAATATGAGAAGAGTGAGCGAGAGAAAATGTGCTGTGGTTGAGTGGGCGGATGAATTATGGAAAGAGGGTGAAAAGGAAAGGGATGAGACCAATGGTAATATACATGTACATATATATATATATATACAGAATGGTTTGTATGGAATGCATATACGAGTAAATAAAGATAGCGATATATTGCGACATGATGCTTCTCGACGGTTCCTTCAAATGATGTTGAAGGAGCAATTATAAGTTTTTAATTGCGTGACAATTAAATTTATTTAATATTGTATTTATTTTTGCGAAATTTTTTTAATTTTACTGGTTGAAAAATAAGTGTTTTAAACAAAAGATCGTTTAAAAAATATTTAATGAATTATTACGTTTGAGTCAAAACTTTTCTTTCAATGGCATTGCAGAGAACTATTATTTTTTTTTGTCCGTATTGTATTTTCAGCACGTATCATCTGATCAGCACAATGGTTAATAAGGATTTGATTCAGGTTTGACCTGTTGATTCTGCAGAAAATGCTTGTATTGTACGAGACTTACACATTACTTGATGTTATCAATTGAAATATATATGCTATTATCGTAGCATACAATGTTATAGTTTAAAATTTTCAATTATCATATAAGGAAATAATTTATTGCAAATCTTATAATTATAATACTTTTTAATAATGTCATTCAAATTTATATAATTTATATTGAAATTCTTTTAAATACAAATTTAAAATGTTCATGGTGATTTTTTTAACACAAAAGTTTATATGAAATTATAAAAAATTGTTGCAATGCAAAATTTGATAATTTCCATGTTATCATTCACAATATGCTTGCACAATATGCATTTTTTCAAATAAAATTTATTACACGATTGTTAATCGGTATAAAACTCGTTGAATTCATGAAAAGAAATTTATGCAGTTTCATATAACTTTATAATATAATATAATATATTAAATATAATATATATTAAATTTCCAAATAAATTTAATAATAAGTAGATATTATTTTTAAATTTAATATTTTATTATTTTTGTACTACTTATTAAAAAAATAAAACGATATAAATTTAAATGTTATATAATAATTCTGCAAAAATTTTAAAAGAGCTAATTCTAGAAAGCTGAGAGTTATATAGAAACAAGAATGAATACTTACAAGCTTTAAATAAAACTATAGAAATATAATAAGATAAATAAAATTATTAAAACAATCATTGAAAACAATCATTGAAATAATTTTATATGTTGGTATTAATATATACACTTTTCATAATAATACAAAGTATAATATATGTGACACAATAAAAAAATATTTAATATTAAAATATAAAAATATTGTACTGACATACATACTATGAATACATATGTAACATGTCGAAACTTTTAAAATATTGATCGTACTGTCCTGTGAAATACAATATCTGATTACACGATCTTTTAATTAGTTTAAGTAGCGACCATTCAATTAATTCCAACAAGTTCAAATTCGCATTAATGACACATTAATTATAATAAATATAAATTTATCTATTGAATAATGACAAAGAATAGTTTTTAAATTTTTTAGGTATTCTTTAGTCCATTAAAATCTTCTGCTGCGTTAACAATAATGTAAAACTGCAGTCAAAAATTACGATACTTTGTACGTGGGAGTGAAAATGCACGGTAAAGAACGCGCATATATCGATCAATTTTTCATCGCTTATTTTCTACATCCATGCAAATATTCGCGGCAGTGAACCAGTTTGTGATAAACATTGCCACGAAGAAAATTTAAAATCATATTTTTGTGTGAATCGCATGTGTTACCGTATACGGGACTAAAACATAAACAATGAAAGTTTGATAAAATAAATTCCGTGCATACAAGAGAATTGATTGCTGGACGACATCTATATGGTGAGTCCTATATGTATTGTTCTTCGTATACATATATGTTGTCCTTTTAGATTTAGTCGTTGTTTAGAAATTAAAATTTGTATACGTTAGTTGAAAAATCAATCGATGTTCATACTTTTGTATTTATTCTAAAATTTGTTAGAAAATAAAAATATGCATGTTTCGATGTTTTTCTGTTTGTATATGTAAATGAAACAAAATAGAGAATATAATAACTATATAATAACATATTATATAATATATATTATATAATATTCTGGGAATAATATTTTGGGCTATAATGCATTTAATTTCCTATAACGTTGTGTGTTAATTGTTGTGATGTATAATTCATTTACTAAAACCAAAAATTTGGAAACGTATCTATGTAAATATATAATTATAGAGTTCATCAAAAATTTAATCAAAAATTTGTAAATGATTTTTGATATGAATATTATTAGTTGGTTCTAAAAAATATTCTCTATCTCAAAATAAAAGTTTATAAAAGAAAAGTATTATATTATTATGATATTATATAATAAGTTTATTTTAATAAATTAATTTTTTATAAATCTAATTATAAAAATAAATATAAATTGAATAAAATCTTATTTATAAATAAGGTAATATAATGTTTCGAGATTAAACGAGAAAAAAAGTATATATTTTTTTTTTATACCATTTATCAACATTTTTTCTTAACACTTTTATAATAAATATATATTATTTTTTTTATAATTATTGAATTGTACACTATTAATTTGATAAATAAAATATCTTGCAACATGTTAAAATAAATATTTGATTTAATATAAAAAAATTTTCAATGAAGAAAATATACAGTTTTCTTTGTAAGAGATAATTGTACTTTAATAATAGCGAAAAGCATTTTGTGTTTTCATAATCTTTTACTGTTTTCATAATCTTTTACTGAAATCAAGTTATCACAATTAAAAAAAAATATAATAATAAAAATTTATATAAAATTATTTATAACATTAGTTAAAAATTTAAAAAACAAATAAATTTTTAGATATTTTTGGAACTTACATTTTATATTATTTTTAAATTTTTGATTTTTACGTTATAAGATTTTTGATTTTTAATTTAATATTTTTTTTATATAATACAATTTACATACTTATTAAATAACTGATTTTATGAAAAAAATTTTTTTTATATTCTTAAATCGATTAAAAAGGCTCGAGTAAATGATATAGTATACTTCAACGCCTATCAATCTCTTTAATGTACGCTGTCACATCGTTGTAACAGGCGATAGATCAAAGGAATTGATACGTAATGTTCATTCAAGTAAGTGGTAGTCACACTTTGCGAGAATACAGTATGATTTTAAAGTGATATTAAAATCAGCAGATGAAATTCAATTAAAACGAATATCGCAAGTGGAATAATATCATTCACAGTCAAATTTATAAGAAATTTCCTGCAAAAGAAGTCTTAAATATAATCGCTATTTTTTCATTTTTATATATATATTAATTGACAGAAATATATTTAAAAAAAATTATTTAATAAAATATAGTATATCATTTTTCCCGTTATTGAATGTCGTTATGAAAATTATCACTTATTAAAACTATATACATGTAAAATCATAAAAATAATTAAATATTTAAATATACACATATCAATATTTTATTAAAAAATAAATATTTTATTCAAAACTATATAATTAATAATAAATATAAATAATAATTCCTCTTTGTATATATTTTTCAAAATATTGTTATATATTATTTATATGAATATTTCATTTATTATAATATTATATAATTTTTTAAAAATCTCAGTTTCTCATTGTTAGTTGTTCAACTTTAATGACATTAATTAATTTATCATATGATACAAATAGAATATATTTCAAATATGAATTTTGATAAAACAAAATGAAAAAAATATTTGAAAAAAAGTTGACTGTATTATAAATTGTTTATTAAAAATATATTATTTTTAATAAAAGCAATTAAAAATTTAT